GTTTATATGCAAAAAAACCCTTATATTTTCAGTTACCGTTCTGATTTACCCAAATATACGTTTTTCTTTAAGAATTTATCGGCTTGTTTTCTAACATAACATTTATCTTGTTTGTTTTTAAACTGACATGAAAAAAAATAAACAATGTCACTTATTTTTGCTTGAGTAAATGATATATTTCTCATTTTTTACCTTAGAAAAGAGACAATGTCACTTATTTATGTTTCCATGTTAACCTAAAAACGAACAAATATAAATGCCATGTCACAAAACCATCAGTAATTTCTTTAAAAAACCGGATAATTTGGTTAATGTGAAAAGTAACTGAAAATGTGAGAGTTTTTCTATATATAAACACAATATAAAGGTTTATCTGAATGCTAGTAGATAAATGGCTGTGTTTTTCTGCATTTTTCCCTAATGTAAATGTTAGTATGCATAAAAATTAGAATACATAAAAAAAATGTTAATATAAGAAAGAAAATCTTTAGTGGTCCATAATGAATAAGTTTTATTAATTCATTATTATTTTTTAATACGATGGAGGTTTTTATAATTAATAATGTTTTTACTAAGTAATACATACATTGATTAAAATAGATGTGATTTCCACTTGTTTAATAACCCGGATTAGAGCTTTCGTGCCGATAACGTGTTATAAATTTGACGTAATTAAAACAAGATAAATAAAGCAAAACTAAGAACCTTAAGAAAGAAGAAGAACGATTTGGAAAGAATTTAATCACTTGTATAAAGTATTCAAATTGGTGTGTCTTTTTACACATACAATGGTGCTATTTATATCAATTAAATCACTAGACATAATCAATAAGTTCTTACACATATTTGACATATTTGTTATAAGATTTGAAATAACTCTTACACATTTGAAATTATGGTAGAAAATATTGTCATCCAATTATTTACAACTATATATATATATATATATATATATATATATATATATATATATATATATATATATATATATATATATATATATATATATATTCACCACCTAAGCACAAGGCAACAACATCATAGTCTATTTTTATTGATTTGGTTATTTGCTTATTTTATTAGTTTAGTCAATATATTGTTATAATATGAATAATTTAATATATTTATCTATTATTATTATTACTTTCAATACACAAAGCTTTACATAATTCAGAACACACCGTTGATACCATATAATTTTTTTCTTCATTCTAATATAAGCTTTTATCGCAATCTCACCTAAACATACGATGTGCTTAATTGTTTTTATTAAAATATGTTTGTCTTTATATCATTATAAAGTAATTTTTTTTACACCCCCTCTTCAAAAGAAAAAGAAAACAATGTTATAATCTTCAAAGTAACAATAATATACCACTTCATTCGTTAATTAAAATTGTATTTATTATATAGAATATTGTGAGTGTAAAAATAAATTAAACTAATTTTTGGTCATTTTCATTGAGAATTATACGTTTCTATAAATTTTGATAACTATATAATCAGTCATTGTCAACAAACAAAACGGGTCGGATTCAATTGTAATTTTTGTTTATATTATATTTTAGGGAGGTACAACTTTATACGTTAAACAACTTTGTGAAAATAATTATTTTCGATTTCGACTATATTTGTACTCTCAATATCAAAATTCATGGCTCTGTTATTGATTTAATTTTTTAATCATTACTATCTTAATTGTATAATTGCATTCCTACACAACACATATGAATACGCCTAGTTGTTAATTGAATGAAAAGATATTCATAGAAAAATATCCGATTACACGTGTAAATCTTTCTTCACGATTTCATCCCATGTCAATCTTTGTTGACCCCTAAATGCCTCTATTTAGGCTGGTCGGTGTGGGCAACGCCCACACCGGCGTTTTTAGATAAAAACAAAGAAACAACGTTAAACGAAGGTGTTGTCGGTAATGGGAAGCAACGGAAGGTGTATAACGCCCAAAAACGGTGAAGTGGGGCTGATTATTGTGCGTTATAACGCCCAAAAATGCCCGTAGGGCGTTGCCCATACCCAGCACCCTTATAACTACAAGTCTCCTGCAAGCTCACGCCTTCGTAGGTCTACATGATATAAACCACCTCAATTGACATCTCGATTTTTATTCTACCAATGTCACGTGGCATCCTCTTGTACATTTTAATTTCTAATCTTTTTTCTTAGTTGATAACCTCATATTCCTTTCAGTACTCCTTTCTCTGACTTTTAATTATTATCATTTTTATTATTCGTAGTACCAAAAAATACCCACTAAGAAAGAGAACATTATTTTATGGTGGAGTGAAAAAGGACAAGAAGTTGTATGTACTTTGGCATCTCTTGGATTCATGAGTCCTGATATATATAATAATGGTGGTCACAAGGGACTTGAGAGTTGAGAGAGGGAACCCATCTGAAGACATTTAGTGAGTGAGCCATTAAGTAATGGGATAAAGCAACAAAGAGCATGGGGTCCTTTCTTCTTGTTTCGTTTCATTGTAGTTGTGGTCACCCTTTTGGATCTTTTTTTAGTTTTGTAAGAGAAGTTGTCATAGCATACATGCAAGCATGTGGGTTACTTTTTATTACTTGATATTTTGATTTAGTTTCCTAATGTATGTTGCCAGATTTGGTAGGGACTCAGAGAGATGATAATATGATATTTACCTTTTCTTCACTTGAACAAACATATAAAGTATTAGTAGGATTCATTTGTGTGATAATATATAGTTGATATATCATGGAAAAGACCACCCTCTATATTATTATATGTATAAGATGACGGTTACAAGAAATTAATGTAATAAATGTTAAATATCTTGATACTATCTAGATTTAGTATTCCAATATTTCCATGTGAAATTGCTATGTGGTCTTTTATGTAGCAAAGAAGGCATGAATTGGTAATGAACATGAAGTGTTGACTCAACAATATCAAGATTACGTTTCCAAAGGGTCTTAGATGAGTGTGTAGTTACATGTGGATTTCCCCCTTTGTGTTACACTTACCAAGTTTTATGGTTGTGCATAGACCTAACAATCTGTATCTACATGTCATGTATACTTGTCAGACACGAATTTACACGAAACAAATTGTAAAATGTATAAAACTCATTTTTGAATTAGAATAATTTTGAAATACAGATCTAAAACAAACTTGTTTTAGCATGTTTAAATTACTAGGAAGATTGTTTCGCTTAGGCTGGTGGGTGTGGCATTCGGTTTCCGTTCGGTGAACTCAACGAACACTGGGCCGAGGCCTCGGCATGCGGAGCTCGGCTCGGCAACTCGGCGAGGATGAACCGATGAGAGAGAGTTTTTTTTCTTTTTCTTTTAACTCATTTATTACTTAAGCCTCTTTTTCTAAAATTAACCTTTTTCCAAAAAATAACTAATTTAAAAAATATAACCGTTTTTTTTCAAAATTCCAAATTTTAAACCCTCAATCTTCATCTATAAATATCTTCATCCTTATTCACTCTTCACCATATTCAAGTCTCCTTAATTCTATTCTCTTAACTTTTTTTATTTTTCCATTCTTTTCTACACCTCATCACAAAAAATGGCTATTGTTTGGTCGACCAAAGTGTAGATCTTACTCGCTCGTTCATGGATTGATGTAGCAGAAGATCCACACCACAGTGACTACCTTTCGACTACTTTTTGGAGAAGAGTCGCCGACATATACAACCGCTAAGCCCTTCAACCACGAAGAAAATATATACTCTACGCCAAATGGAGAAACGCACACAAACTCGTAACTCGGTTTACTATTTTGTTTCGTAGGGTGATGCATGATGCCGGAAATGGTGAAAACGAAAATACTTTGCTACAGAATGCTCTTGAGGCTTACCGTGTTGAAACTGATAAAGATTTCAAACTTGTTGAGTTTTGGCAAATTGTGAGGCAGAGCCCCACATGGCATAATGTTTGAATTTCTAGTGTGATGTTTCTAAATTTCTAGTGTTCTTGTGATATTTTTAATTTCTATGTTTTTTTTTTTTTTGAATTTCAATGTTTTTTTTTTTTGAATTTCTATGTTTGTTTTAATGGAATTTAAGTTTTAAGAAAAATAATATGTTTGCAATATTTATTTTCTAAATTAATTAAAGATAATATATATTTAGCATGACAAGTGTGGTAACCCACGCCTAGCAAATGACAAATTTTCACTAAAGTGTGACAAAAATGACATGACGCCTACGCGCACTGTGACAAGTGTGACACCACACCCACCAGCCTTATGATTAATTTTGAACCGAACTGATGCAACCCACAACAAACTAATTTTTGCAATTTTAGTTCTCTTACAATCTCAACAACAATAATAACCTTATATAAAGTTCAAATCAGATACAACGTACACGATTTTTCATCAATCATTTATTGATTTTAAGCTTCAATTTTGGACGATTTTTAATTGATTTCTTTTTGAAAGAAATCAATTTTCATAAATTCCATTTTAGCATCGACGTTGCAAATTGAATAACTGCTGGTTTATATTGAAAGCGATTTATAAAAAGTAAAGAATTAATAGGTAATTTTGAATAAACCAATTATCAAATTAATATTTTATTTACATTTCCAAATTTATCAAGAATAGTCAAGTCTTTTGAACTATAGTTCTTTTGAGCAGTTTCACATTGTAGTTGACATTCATATATATTAGTTCAATAAAAAGAAAACAGAATAGCATAGCAAAAAATTATTAAGGGAAAGTAATATAAACCTCATTGAAGTTTGATATGATTTTCATTTGATGACCAAATAATAAATTGTCATTTGATACTTACTTGGTCGCAAGAGATTAAACTGTTTAAAACTTTTTTAACCAACTTTTATGAACATTTTTATCAAAAGAAAATGAGAAACCCACCTTCACGAGAAGGCATACATGCCAAGTCCTTTTGAAAAAAAAAAAAAAAAAAAAGTCATGGGTAAAAATGAAAACCACTATGGTTGCATTTGAGCTAATATAGGTTTAAACCAGTTGTAAGTGGGAGAAAATAAAAAGTAATTTGTGTCCCATTAACTGAGTCTGTCTAATGCAATGCGCACCAAACATAGTATGTTCTGTTTTGTTCTTTACAGTCTTGTTCTATGAAACAAATGGGGGGCTTACTAAACCCGTTTAATCCAATGGAAGCAGCTTAAGGTCTATGACTTATAACCCTCATATAACCATGGAAACTGGGAAGTAAAAAAAAAAAAAAAAAAAAAAAGCAATGAAGAAATATCTAGAAAATATACACAACCAAATTGGCAAAGAAAAAACAAATGATTTTCTAATTTAACAAGCAAAAAAGGTTAAAAGTTGTAAAGGTAAGAACCCAAGACACACCATTGAGTAGTTATACTGGCACCCTTTTGCCGCGGTAACGATCCAACATCTGTACACAGAAATCAAGTAAGTTATATTCGTAAACACTAAACATACACCAGATTATAAATTCTACATCAGTTATAGTAATGACTAACAATAATAAGGTGTTGTTTCTTTTTTACTTATCTTAATGGGGAAATGATTTAGGAGTTGTTTTTCTTTTAAACTTAATGGGCAAAATGGGTTTGTTAAACACTTATACTGGACAACTACATATATATATGGTTGTTTCTTTTTAACTTAATCTGAACATAATGGTTTTATGGGTTAAGCCAAAAAAAAACTTGGCTTAAACCCTCTCACTTTCTCCCTTAAATGGTTTTTAGAATGCCAACTAGCTTATCATATAATTTAATTAACATTTCATAACAATAATAAAAATCATATAACTATTAGAAAAACATAAATACATAATTAATAAATACTTTCATTCAAACATGTACGCTATATATTTTGTTTTTAATGAGCCTAGTAAAGTAAACTTTGATAACAACTTAGTATAAAGTAAAATGAATCAAATAAGGGTTTAGAAGTCGTCCACTGATCCACATATGTATCTAAAGTTTCAAAACCTTAAACCCACCAAAATCATTTTACTAAAGGAAAATATTTTTTTTTTATAATCATATTTAAAAAGTAAAAACTAAAGTTTAATAACTTTTTAAAAATATCAATACTAATGTAAAACATCCTTAGCTCAACGTATTTACTTAAATCAAAATTTATCCAAAATCAAAACAACTCTTAACTATACGTTCGGTTTAGATTATTATTTTATGATTAACTATCATGTTCAATTTAAGTTGCTAATCATATTGTGACTGAACATGATTACATTTGTACTACTATTTGTAGAAAATAAAGCGTGATTTATAAATTTTTTTTTAAAAAAAAAGCAATCATTTGTTATTTCTATACTGAATATTAAAATGGTCATTTATTTAGATTCTGACAGTTCATTCGGTCCAAAAAAGAAACACTCTATATGCATACATCACTTTATCCACACATACATCATTTTACCATTCAGCCATTTTTACTCTTTATCCATACACGACTTAATTGACAAAGTCTGCAAAAGGCTTTTCCCCTATTAAGTCTTCGTAACTTTTTAAAAATTTACCCTCATTTATTTTTTTCCTTCCATTTTCTCAAGTATACCGTGATATTCTCAAATATTTTTAAACATCATTTAATTAAGACTGACAAGACATTAACAGGATCAATATTTACAAGGGTATGGAAAGCATACCGATCTAAGGTAAGGCTGTTGAAAAATCCAACCAATAACTGGTATCTTCTGCACAAAAACTGATAGTGTAGGCCAGAAGCCACTGCATAAATGGGATTTAAGCAATTAATAGCAAGTCCTATGAGCATGAGCAAAAGCAAAAGCAATCAAACTATGAGAAATGTATCAAGCAAACCTGAAGAGAATAATGAATCCATAAGCCTCTGCTGCCATTCCTATTACAGGCCACCCAATGATAACAAAGAAGAAGCCAACACCAAATGAAATTGTGCCCTGTAAATGCAGTGAATGAATCAAAGGATAGATAACTAGATGTACAAAAGAATATTTGATCACACACAAAACAGAATTTTATGAGTGAGTATAAAAAACCTTAAAGTTGCTGCGTTTCATGAAGAACTGCAAGGAGGACTTGACTCCAATGGTCATTATCACTCCTGAGATGAATAGGATCTGGTTCAATACCAAACAAAATTGACCCTTTGTCAGTAATTGTCAAATCAGCATCAGCAATAAGAAAAATAGAGAAATAGATTAAGACACCAACATTTCCAATGGCAAGAAGCCCCTTGTCAAAGAAGAAAATGATCCCCAAAAACGAGAAAAAGACACCAAATCCAGTCAATCCTAACCCGATCTCTGTTTCATCAAGAAAAAACAACTGATTAGTGGAGTAATATTCACAAAGAAAGAAAAGAATCACTAAACACTAATTAAATCTGAGCAATTCTCTTCTCCATGACATTCTTTTAGTAAAAATACAAAATCTGGAACCTGATCTTTGTTACCATACAAACGTTAATTATTTAACTCAGTTTTCAAAGGTAATCTAGTGTCTAACGAGGTATTCCAATTAAAAAATGAAACCCTATAACCACCAATTTGGATACAACAAGGAACCACATCCTTAGATAGGGTTCTATGCATTTACAATGCGAGAATGCAAATACAAAATGTTGATTTTTTACCAAAAATCCAAGTTACTACTTACTAGCATGTCCCCTATGGTATACTCTCTCTCATTATCCCTTAAAATTTATAACAATTTCTATTTTGGCATACCCATATTAGCTGCAGGTTTCTTTATTCAGTAATATTTCAAAATAAAATTGTCAATTTTGGTCCACAAGATTACTCTTGTTTTCTTCATTGCTGAAAGACTTAGACATGCGACTAATAGTCTAACATTCTTATAGAACTATGTGCCCTTTCTATTGCACGATGAATAATGCATTTAAATGCAGTTGCCAGCTATTTGTGCAAAGAAGAACTCTCACTGGTTGGACAAAAAATATAGCAAAGAACAGTTGAAGCATCAATTCACATAGATAATGAAATCTCTGCTCCATGAAGATTAGCCAATCAAAGGGTCTAGGTTTTTTTAAGTTTCTAATCTTTAAAACTGAGCCAGCTTGAGTAGAATTTCAAACATATTGGTTCTAAAGCAAAACCAAGGCTCAGGGTTCAGACTGCACAATGTCCCAGGCCATACAATTATGCATCTTCTGTTCATAAGATACAGGAGTCTATCCGTGACTCATAACATGTATCAGTTATCAGCTGCATATTAAGCCTTGATTACCAGGTGATTAAGCCTTATGTCATTTGTTCTAAATTATAAACCCCAAACCCAAACATTGATACTACCATGACTTCATGTTATACAGTATTGTAGCATCATAGTTGGCAATGATTATACTAATACTCTAACACGATCAAATGTATAGAATGGTCTATATCAACAAAAAATTCAAATTATTGACAAGTGCGGGTTAACTCCAACATTATGATTAAAACTTATATATAAAGTAACTTCAAATTGTAAGGGGGTGCAGAAAAAGAACAAAGATGCTGAAAACTCACTTTTCCAGTCGTTCATCTCTAAACCAACCATCCTGTCTACTCGGATGAAACTCTCCAACGACTAGATCAAATTGATTTCCGTAGACTGAATCAGAAGCAAAACAAACCTAATACAGATGAATTAATCCAAAGTAAAATATAATTCAAACTAACAAAGTTCTAACTATTATGAGATCACGCAATCGATTTAGGGTTTTAATACGCAAAATTCGGCTTAATTAAGATCTCAAAACTCAAATCTTCTTAACTAAGATCACCGATCTGACACGCAAACGAAACAAAAGCAGATATCGAATTTACAAAAACTGATAACAGTTTAATAAAGAACAAACATACAATTCGGCTGTGTAACTTCAGAAATCGTAGGAGATAAACCTGTTTCAGAAGGAGATAAGCACATATATAGTGTGTGTGAGGACTCGGAAGATACGATGGTAGAATTTGTATTCTCCCAGTCGGGTATCGTTCTTCTCTCTGAAGAAATCGATCGTCATCGACGCGTTGTTTTTCAAATTCAGACCTACACCTAACAGCTAACTTGGTCCCTCTACTTTTAGGTACTAGTATCTAAGGTCCCTGTACTTTTAGGTGATAGTATCTTGGTCCCTATACTTTCCAGTATTTTCAGCTAAGGTAATTAACTACTTAAAACCATTGTTCTTCGTATTTTTTGATGGTGGCCATCTTATATGTATTTCTAACTCGCATTTAGTATTTTGCGATGTTTGTTTTTTATGTTTATTTACTTATTTTGTTTGAATATATGTCTAACTGCAGAAGCGAGAATTAGTTATGGTCTGGGATCATCCACGTAATGATTTCAAGCCATAAAAACTAGTTAGTGATGTATTGTTTTCCATAGTTATTATTTAAAATGAGAGTTTTAATAAAAGACCAATTTAAAACTTTTAACTTAAATAATTTTATAACTTATTATTTAAATGACAAAATAATCATTTTTCAAAATTTATCGGCAAATCACAAAAAAGTATTATATTTTGGACCTGTGCAAAACCGGGTTTTTTTTTTTTTTTTTTTTTTTTCAACTTATTAACAAAATCTTTATACAACAAATTTTGCAGTTTACCCCATAATCAATCTAAACAAAAAGGAGTGAAATTTTGAGCAAGGGAGACTCGATCAACTGTATTCTATTCCACCCAGCGACTCCATTTCAAATCAATTCAAAATCGACTGCTTAAAACAGAAGATTTGCAACTCAAAATCTGAGAGGTCTCTAGCAGGATCATCATATTACAGTACTACTTCGTTGACGTGATTCCATCAAATCAACAAAATGGCACGAGCATCAGCACTAGCGAAGTACAAGCTGGTGTTCTTGGGTGATCAATCCGTCGGCAAAACCAGCATTATTACTCGCTTTATGTATGATAAGTTCGATACCTCTTATCAGGTGCGAAAATTGTTATCCTTACACTCATTGAATCAGATCTTTATAGCAGTTTGTGCAATTATCATGTCAAATCGGCGATCTGATTGTACCGAGTCTCTTTCTTGCTGTTTCGCTGATTACAAACAGATCTGTAGTTTTCTTTTGCTTTCAATTCTGTCGGTATAAGTTTTCTATCCCGATTTGAAGCGTGTTTTAGAAATTGTGCAAGGATTTTGAGTTTTACTTAATCAATGTTGTTACAAGGAGTAAGGGACAACGGGAGTGTCTATTTTTATACATAATCATGTCTGCACCAAGTTCAGTGAGATGTCACTGTATTGGTGCGGTATCATGATCTAGAATCCTGCTCCTGTGTTACTTGTTTGGGTATAATCCATGAACTCTTTTAGCCATATAATCATGCTCAGAGGAGATTAGCATCTTGTTTATGGTGCTTTTAGTGAAACACTTTTATTGTTCATGTTTGTAGCTTAGGATATAAACTAAACCAGACAACAATGGTATATACTGTTACTCACAATATATTGATTTAGTACACTACCCACCTCCTTTCCAATATTTGAGATGGATTCTGACTTTTGCAGATCAGATCATCCGAAACCTTTCTACTGGTTGTATTTCTATAACTTTTAACCAACTCCTGTTATTCTAGTTTCAAAGTCAAAATGCATATTTGATTCTTAATACCACATGTTATGTATGCACCCTTTTCCACTTGATACAATAGTATCTTAGCATCTATATATCTTACTTGTCTGTACCATTGTTCTTGTGTGACTGTTACCAATTAGCTACTGTATTATCCTTTCTAAATGACTGAACCATCTGTTTTAAAGCACTTCTTAAGAGATCATCACAAAGTTAAAATAATTGTTCTGTTGTATTAAATGTTAATTTTAACTTACTCTCTTGAAATCAAGCTCAATTTCATATACCTTAAACTAAATCAAGTTCTATGTTGATCAGGCAACCATTGGGATTGACTTCTTATCTAAAACAATGTATCTTGAAGATCGGACAGTTCGTCTGCAGTTATGGTAACATGTTATAAACTGCAAATATTTAGTTTTCTTGATGTCATCTTACACTTTGAATATGATAATTATATGTTACTAAATTGTACAATATGATCTCAGGGATACAGCTGGGCAAGAGAGGTTTAGGAGTCTCATTCCAAGTTACATAAGGGATTCTTCAGTTGCAGTTATCACATATGATGTTTCAAGTATGAAATAATTCAACTACCATTTTTCAACCCACTTTTTCAAGATTTGAATTTTATCTTTTTTTTGTTATAATTAGGTCGGCAAACTTTTCTTAACACTATAAAATGGATCGAGGAAGTGCGTGCAGAGAGAGGTAGTGATGTTATTATTGTTATGGTTGGGAACAAGACTGACCTTGTGGACAAAAGGTGATCATATTCCTTTCATAGCATTGTACTTTCCAATTGTTATCTGTATAAAATATAAATGATGTTTATTAAAAAAAATATTCACCAGGCAAGTGTCAGTAGAGGAAGGTGAAGCCAAAGCTACTGAACTCAATGTGATGTTCATTGAAACAAGTGCTAAAGCTGGGTTCAACATAAAGGTATGCAAAAAAAAGTTTTGTTATATTTTATTGGAAGTTAAAATTAGAAAATGATTTTTATGTTATTTTGTTTATTACAGGCTTTATTTAGGAAAATAGCAGCAGCGTTGCCAGGAATGGAAACACTTTCATCAACAAAACATGAAGAAATGGTTGATGTGAATTTGAAGTCAACAAGCATGAGTTCATCTCAGCCTGAATCTGGTGGTTGTGCTTGTTGATCAAAGTTGAAAAGTTTGGAAACAAAATATTGTGTTTTTTCGGTTTGTTGTTATCATTTACCACAAATGTATGTAACAAAATTCGTATGTTTTTCCCTTTTAATTTGATATTATTACATTTGTTACGGGAGTAGAATCATCCTGCATTACTGAGGTGTAGTTTTTTCATGTATAAAAGGATTTATGTGGAATCGCCAAGATTTTGAATTGGTTTTTTGTATTGATGAATATTTTAAATCAAGGTATTTGTGTTTGGGAATATGCATATTTGTTTAATGTAGAGGTTTGTGATTGTGATTATGTTAAAATATGTTGAATTCATTATCCAAGTGTTAGATGCTTGTCTTGTTAACAAACACAAATTGTGCCCCTTTTTTTTGTATATTTTATGTAAGTATGATGCCAACATTTTTTTAGAAAAGGGACTCCATTGACGTTAATTTATCTTTGAACAAATATCTTAATTATTTATAATTAGTAAATATTCAGTAAAATATCAACATGAATATAATAATTCATATATTAATTAATTATATTATTATATAAGAATTTTATAATTTAATTGATCAGGTATTTAGAAAAGTTAGACATTACTAAGTACCAAAAAGTTGGTCGTGTAGAGAAGTTAAATAAACAAATATTGATAAATATAGATAAAATATTATTTCAATGACAACCGTTGTAATATTTAAAGGGATAAATTGCATGTAAAACAATATTTAAGAGCTTATAAAAACTTTACTTATCTAACGTAGTAAAGTGTTTGCTATAACTTTTTGAAAAACTTTTTTTTCTTTTTATGTATCATTTTCTTCACCAACTTTATTTGACAATAAACTATCTTTGTAAATCTTCACCGATATACGATTTAAAAAAATATATATATATATATTTTTATTAGTTGAACATTTATTCTCATCTGTTTGAAATATTATATATAGTCACGTGACTCACGTCATCTAATTGGTCGTATTTTTAGCACATACCATATTTGATGTTAAAGGTTGTTTTGACTAGAATATTGACTTAGGCTTAGGGAGTGGTGTCATATTTGTCACGGTCCACGTAGGTATTACGTCAGCTTTGTCATACTCTTTTAAATTTTTTCCATTTCATGGAATGAGTTGACACACTTGTCATGATATATTTAAAAAAAAATTAATTAATTAAAAAAAATAAACATTTCAAACATATTATTTTTTTAAAACTAAAATTTCATTAACTTCAAACAAAATCACAAACTTACACTTAAAAAACAAAACACATTTTGAAATTAAAAAATACACACTTAAACTTAAAAAAACATAACACACTTGAAATTAAACTAATACACACTTAAACTTAAAAAACATAACACACCAGAAAAAACTTAAATTAAAAGACAACGAATTTAAATTTGAGCAAATTTTGGGGACCGCCTCACAATTTGCCAAAAGTCAACAAGCTGAAAATCTTTGTTAATTTCAACACGATAAGCCTCAAGAGCATTTTGTAGCATCGTATTTTCATTTTCACCATTACCAGTTTCATGCATCTCCCTACGAAACACACTGTTAAACGGAGTTGTAAGTGTATTTGCGTGCCTCCATTTGGAGTAGATTTCTTCTTTACCTCAAAGGACCGGGGCTTCGCGGTTGTATTTTTCGGCGACTCTCCTCCAAAAGGTTGTCGTATGGAGGTTACCGTGGATTGGGTCTTCTATAACATCAAACCATGAACGAGCCAACATCATCTCTTCTTCAAGGGACCAAAAACAAATCACACGAGCCATTAGCAATGAGGTTTTGAAGAAGATAAAAAATAAGAAAGTAAGGAGAATTGAATTAAGAAGATTTGAATAGGGTAAAGAATGAATAAAAATGATGATATTTATAGTTGAAGATTGAGAGTTTAAAATTTGAAGTTTAAAAAAAAAACGGTTATATTTTTGAAATTGAGTATTTTTTTTTTTTTCTGAAAAGAAGGTATTTTTGAAAAAAGAAATTTGAGTTAATGGGTCAAAAAAAATCACTTTCTCTTTCATCGGTAAAAGCTCACCGAGATGCCGAGGCCTCGATCCGGTGTTCACCGAGGATGACGAGATCAATGCCGAATCCACTTCGATGAGCCTTAGTTGAAGAATTATATAATAAAAAGGTTAAATATCCTCCTACAACATATTCCTACTTTTATTCTTACTCACTAGATTATGACAAGTGTCATAATCAAAGGATAAGTTGAGGAAAAAGAATTTTTGGATTACAATTGGCAATCAATGAGGATGAAGTAGATA